GGGGCCGAGCCTGAGCCCTGCGCCGCCCTCTGCCCGCAGCGCGATGGCTGCCAACTGCGAGCGCACCTTCATCGCCATCAAGCCCGACGGCGTCCAGCGGGGGCTGGTGGGAGAGATCATCAAGCGGTTCGAGCAGAAGGGATTCCGGCTGGTGGCCATGAAGTTCGTGCAGGTCAGTGTCCGCGCCCGGGGCAGCGCCCCTGCGCCCGCTCTGCCCTAAACGCTGGCCCCCGCCTGCCAGAAGAGGTACTTCCATGCGTGTGTCTCTGCTTGTGCGCGTTTTCCTGCATCGGAATGGGAATCTGATGCTGGATTTGCACAACAGCTGGAAGTGCTGCACCGCTTGCCAGCCCAGGCTTTCCACCAGCCACAAAGTCTCTGCCCTTCCACCAGCCACAAAGTCTCTGCCCTTCCACCAGTCTCTGCCCTTTCCTAAGGAAAGCAAATTTGCTGAGGTGGCTTGATGCAACCTAGTTAAGAGAGCTGAAAGCGACCTTGACTGAAAGGTTGTAGCGGGTAATGTCACCCAGCCATCTTGTGCTCGGCTTGTTGCTGAGGATTACGGTCATGCAAAGAAATAACTGTGACAGTTCAGAACGCTGACTGCTACAGGGGAGGCTGCTGTGTCGCGCACCCCTTTGATTTTACACTGGGAACTTTAACTGAAAGCCACAATGGCATTGCAGCAGCTGCTGGTAATATGACTGGTGAAGCCAGTCGCTAATGCTGCAGCCTTACAGTAGTAACACCTTTTGTGGTATGGTATTTTGAATAAAGTATTTAATGTCAATCTGTCCTTTTAAAGGCCTCTGAAGACCTTCTCAAACAACATTACATTGACCTCAAAGACCGACCATTCTACCCTGGTTTGGTTAAATACATGAACTCTGGGCCTGTTGTGGCCATGGTAAGTGACTTGATGGTGCTTACAGATGACTTTCTTGAATATATTTGTCCTGCTCTGTAAATTATTTTAAAATACTCAGATACCATTACAGAAACACTTTTCCAAACTACCCAGTTCTGATAGTGGCAAAAGAAGACCAAAATTAAAATGAAGACAATCATGTAAGAAGTTACTATTTATTAACAAAAAAAGAAAACATGCATGTATGAAATGCGTGTTAAAATGCATAGCGTGGATTAAGCAAAATTCATGAAAGCCAGTCTTCTGTGCCAAAGAATCTTATCTTTTGGGCAAAAAAGGGTCAGGGCTTTCCCACAGAAACCCATCTTCTGTGTCATTCGTTTTTGCACTCTTCCAAAACCAATAAAACCCCAATAAAAATCACCCTAGTAGTGTCTCCTATTTTGACTATGTACCCAGGAGGAGTGCCTGCAATGCCTCGGGCTGTCCTAATCGTGGCACTACAGAGAGGTTTCAGAGTTGGCCTTGTACATCCGCTAACTCTGAGGCGTGGTAAAGTACCCCCCTCCCTGGACTGACAGCCTTGATAGTCCTTTTTACAATCACTTTCAGTTTAGGTAGTTTATGAAATTTATCTTCGGTATTTTGTATAAGCATGGATTAATAGGATTTGTCATTTTTCCTTAAGGTATGGGAAGGACTCAACGTGGTGAAAACAGGGAGAGTAATGCTAGGGGAAACAAACCCTGCCGACTCTAAGCCTGGTACCATCCGTGGCGACTTCTGCATTCAAGTAGGAAGGTTTGTGCTCAGTTTGTTACCAATCAAGATTAAAAACCTCGGTGTTGGTAGTCTTTTATTCTAGTAACTCAAAATTGTTGGTAGATACCCTCGTCTGACGGTGTTTTATTTGCAGGTCACAATCTGTAACTGCTACTTAAGAAAATGGCTCGGTACAAAACTGACTTGTTTTGAAATACAGCTCCTCATCTGAGCTTCATGTAAGATCAGTCAGTGGCTGTTGTAGAAAAGTAGCCCTAGTCACCCCGCTAGGCTTACTTAGCTCCTGTAGTGGGGGTATTTGAATTTTGTACCTGAAAGAGTAGTCTTGCAGCACTAGGTGCTTCATCCAAATTTTTGCCCATGGAGAACTACTAGGTTGGTCGAAGTGTATTTTTATACAGAGCAATGCGTTTGTCTCCTTCCACAGAAACATCATTCACGGCAGTGACTCCGTAGAAAGCGCGCAGAAGGAGATCAACCTGTGGTTCAAACCTGCAGAGCTCATTGACTTCAAGTCTTGTGCACATGATTGGATCTATGAGTGAAATGAGTTTCCACAATGAATTGTGCCTTCTTAACACGTCATCTCATTCCAGCTATTGACCTGGGAGCAATTTTATCACCATGGTTATCTTAGTCATTTTCAGCACTGTCAAATAAATGAATATGAACGAATTTGTTGTGGTGCATTCACTGTGAAACAGACAACTGCGTGCAGCTGTTCACAGAAGCCATTTTACTCAGTCTTTTGGTATTTTCCTCTCATAGAGGGCATAGTTACCACAAACATCCATGTTCAGGCCTGTCAGAGTAAGAATTCAGTGACTTTTGTTCATTGCAAAGTTGCTTTGGTGGCTATTCAAGCATGCTGCAGGTGCAAAGCCAACTTGCAGAGGGAGAGGGGAAGGGATGCTTGAGCTACTCCAGCATAGCACAACTGAACTAGGGAGAAAAACGTGATAGTACCCCATGCCTAAGCTTCCCTCCCTACACAACCATTAATACCAACTGGGAAATACAAGACCAAGCACAAAGCTTGCTCTCTATTAAATGCCTACCTCCTGCCACCTTCTTACTAAAAGCCTTACTTTGTGCTCAGACTGACAGACCCCATTACTTAAAACATGAATGGTTTCACAAATTGTGGGTGTTCTTTACCTGCGTTTTCTTAGGGGAGAAACAAGCTGGAATGCATTTATGCATGTGCCAAGGAACATTTTTTTTTAAACAAAACAATCACTTCAGAAAAAGACTTTTTATCATTTTTATTTTGTGTAAAAAAGGCAAATTTAGTGAATTATTTTCATCTTGTACACAAAGTTATAATTTTAATGCTTTTCACATCCATGCTGAAAATCTGCAGTCTCGTAAAAATGAAAGTAACATTTTCTCCAAAAGCATTTTCTTTTTCACTTAGTTAGGTACGTTGCATGAGAAAGCTTTAAATACTCTCTCTCATTGACCACACAAATTACCAAGAAAATAAAAGATTAAATTTGTACAGATATTGATCTATATATCAAATACATACAGAAATGATGTAAAAACCCTATTTGTTTAATCTTGATTCCCGCCCCAACATTTTCCCAGGGGCCAAAGCTGATGCCTTTTTTGTATAAATGGCTGTGGCTTTTTGTTTTAAATATGAAAATTAAAAGGAAGAAAAATTCAGTTTAAATCACAGTTTTTTAAAATCCCTTCCCAATAAAGGATTGTTACCAAATATATTAGCACCATCGTACAAATATTGACGGGAGAGGGTATTCACATCACATAAAACAACAATAAAAATAACAAACAAACACTGAAACCCGTGTTAGTATCCGTAGAACAAGGAATTGATAACTGCTTTAGCTTTCCTCAGATGCAGCAAGGAAAAGGTTAAAGAGTTGTATTTAAAAATAACATAAAAATCAAAGATCAGCAGAAAGATTTTGAGCAATAAAAGAAGGGTAGCTGCAAAGTGAGGTACACAACTTGCGCTACCTTACGGTTATAAAAACCTGCTATGCCAAATACGGAAATTAGTTTGACCCCATTGAAGATGGCAGATGTCCAACACTTTGCTGCTCTTTTAGCCAAGTAACACGGCTTAGGAGTAAAATGAAGATAAAAATACCGAGAGCCGTGTTACTAACAAATGCTTTACAAATACAGTGAAGCCTGTACCATGGATACCACAGCCAGCAGGTAACCCACTCTTGGAAGAGACTGTTCTCTAAATACCTGGTGGAATTTCTCTTAAACCTGTCCCTAAGAAAGTGACTTCAGTAAGTTCTTTATGTGGTTGGCGTAGGACAGATTTCACTGTACTTGACAATTACACAATTACGTATATTTTGAATTCAGAAACACACGAGAAATTTCACCCATAAATCTCAACAGGCAACTCCTACTGAAGTCACACGTGTATCTGAGAATGCGTGTCAACTCACATACTTTAGTGTTTAATGAATACAACACCTATTTTTAAAAAACATTAATAAGACTGACAGACTTCAAATCCGATTCTTGCATTTCTCCAACACAGGAAGTGTGTTCAACTTAAGTGCTAATTTTCCCTCTTGACATGTGAAGACTATAACTCAGAAATCAGGTATGAGCCTGGGCAATGCACAGAAGCCCAAGGTTTAGCGACAATATACCTTGCTCATGACTAGCCCAAGCTTTCACATTATGAAACACAACGCAACAGTTTTTCTACTGAAGTCAGGAGCTATTGATGAGAGAACAAAGCAAGATTGTGCCAACCTTGTTCCAGCTGACTGGGGTAATCTGCAAGTTGTTGCATTAAAAAAAAAAAAAAAAAAAAAAATCAACAGCAATGTACTTACCAAAGCAAACCAATGCTTGCAGAGCTGGATTTTACAGCAGGTTAAATTGAGAACACAGGAAAAAAAAATAATCAAGGCTCAAAGTGTCATAACAATGGTCTCTAATCCTACTTCTCCAATCCAGGCTGTTCAAAAGAAACATCATGGGTGGGTCAGAATCTGAGAGAATGTATTTGAAGTCTACCAAGCCTGACAAAGTCCTTTTAATGGCTATTTTAGAGCGCTAAAATGTCTTTACCACCTGAAGGTAGAGATACTTATGATCTGATAACCATATTCTTTCAACATAAGACGCTGTTATTAAAAAGGGGTCATTATTTAAGAAATTTTACCAGTAAGGGAGAAAAGAATTCCAGACATTCCTACACTATACAGGACATTTTTTACTTCCAGTAGTAAATACAAAACTTTACATAATTAACCCCTCTTGCATAGAATGAGGTAAACCTGTGCATATTACCAATACTATGTACCCAAAGTTAGACCAATATTTTAGAAAATAATCAAATTGCTGGTTTTCAACTTTCTATGCACTTTTTTTTTTAAGCTCAAACAACAATATACAAAAATGGTCTCCTGGGGCTCTGTGGGTTGATGTCCTTAAAGCATTTCTTAGGCTGTAGGAACACAGACATTAATCATTTTGATTAATTTTTTTTTAAGCCCTAATTTACGGTCAAGAGTCAGATGATCATTGTACTGCTCTGAAGGGGACCTGCTAAGACCCAGAAGCACTTATAGAACACATGCAGTTAATTCCTGAGAGTTTAGTTAATGAACCTTACTGGTAAAAGCTAAAGCTCTTGATGCACATTTTTCCAGTCACAGCTCTGCAGGGCTGATTAACCATTTTACTAATCAACTCCATGAATGAGATAATTTACAAAAATGTACAAAGTTTAAAAATATGGAAAGATAAAATCCTAATTAGTAAGAGGCTCATGCTAAAATACTTTGTATTTTACTGGTAGTCATTTTCACCCTTTTACATGACTTTTGCCTTTAAAAAATCTGGACAGTTAAGCAGGTGGGGCTAATGGGATACTTGAAGTGAGACACAAGGATTCCAGGCAATAAGCAAATCCAGTTTATGAATTATACACTAGACAGTATATGATTTACATACTGTTCTCAAGTCTCAACTTCCATATTACGCTATTGCAGCAAGAAAAGAATATCGCAGGCTGTGCAAAACTGAACCCATTTTTTTAATCCACAATGTATGGCTCCTTTTAGCTCACCCGAACCCACATGGAACATCAGTTTTGAATCTTCACAGGTAAGGTGAACAAGTAAGATGGTAAGGAAACACCTAGGTCTTTCTGAATGGAAAAGAACAATCAGAAGAATCCTCAGAAGTTCCTTCCCACCACCAAGGGAGGCCTGAGTTACTGTCTGTCCAAGTTACTTCTTCAGTCTAGATTCATAGCTGAAACTAACCATCCAAATGAGGGAATTTTCTGAAGTTTTAGTTTGGCATAGGGCTCTGTAAACATTTGCTGAAGCATTCCGAGACTACAGACATTCACGTACAGACAAGAGCTTTATAGTCCCAATCCAGTGCCCACTGCAGTCAATGGAGACAAGGCTACTGATATCAATGGGCACTGAATCAGACCCTATGGAACTTTAAAAAAAAAACAAAAAAACAAACAAACTTATATAAAAAGAAGTATTTTAAACTAAATAAAAACATCTTGAAAAGTTAAAATCTTCCTCAGGCGATGGCTCCATTGCAATTGGGGCTACTCACTGAGTAGAGCTTTACAGGACTATCTTCCACATACAATTTATGCCTCTAAATTAGGGCTTAAATGCCTTATCTTCACAATAAAAAAAAACCAGAGGCGTGACCAGTGCAGTTCACAAGAGTCTAAAAGTCTCCCAACTTGTACCAAAAAGGTTCATTTGTTATGACAGTTCATTTGTATTTGCAACTATATCTTCCTCCAACCGCTTCCCACAATCATGCTAATTAAACTTTAATCTTACCAAAAAATTAGAATTTCAGTTCTTGTTAACAATGCACAATAAATCTGAACTTGAAAATATTACAAAATTCTTTCAAAAGCTTCAAATACAACACAAAAGTGTCCATTTTTGTTTTTAATAAATTGAAAAATCTTTTTCACTAAAATAGTTTCCCCGCCCTTCCAAAAAATTCTGAACTGAGTCTAACTCATCTACAGTTAGCAAAGTGCCCCAGGTACAGTCACCTGAACTGTACCATCGAAGTGGGAACAAAATCAGTCAGTCTTGGAGAAAGGCTCTTTTCCTATCACCAATACTCTGCCCCTCACTTTTCCGAGCTGCCTTATGGTTCTTGTTTGATGTAGTAACTGGCAGATCCGTTGCTTTCCTGATCAGATGCTCCTTGAAGGAAGCTATACTCTTCTCCATCTAGCAACTCCTCCTTCAGCTGCAATGAAGTAACTAAAAACAAAAGACGGAAATTAAAGATGTATAAAATTCAAAGTAAGTACAACTCTTCCTTAAATCTACTTAGTATTATTTAAATTGGCAACAGACCCTAGATTTCCCATGTTCTTATATTCTACATTTTAGTGATTCAACACTCGGTATCCCACAGAAAGCACATGCTTTCTGAGTGTAAATTGAGCCTTAGGTTATACTCTAATATTAACATATTTGAACAAATTACTTACAAATAATATATTCTCTACAGGGTTTTCTCAAGAATTTAGTATTTTAAAACACTGGTTTAAAAAGGTAGCTGAACATGTTAATAGGAATAATGACTACTGCTCAGAACAACACTTACTTTACTGTTAACTTTTGTTTACTATTTAGTTCCTATTTAGTCTTTACACAAGTAAA